CAGTTTATTTTTGTTGACTGAAAATGGCAATACGGTATTTTAATTTTTAGGTATTAAATACTGTAAAAAAGGTAGCGATAAAACAAGAATGGGATTCTAAATGTGCATCAAAACTGAAAACCATGACTAAATGGAGACTGATAGACCGCCTGATGGATAGATGGACTGACCGACCGACCGACAATGCTAAGATAGATGCGAATAGTTGACGCAGACAATTTAGTTAGTGATCTACTGTACTGTATGACTTAAGGGGCGCTTATTCAAATTGATGGTGGGGCGCTTATTCAAACTGATGGGGGCGCTTAAGACAATTTTCACATTAGGAGGGGCGTTTATTTAAACGGGGCGCTTATTCGCGCGAGTACGGTAAGTCTTCTTCAGATTCTAGATGTTTACATCTAATTATTTTATCTATCTATTCAGTTATATTGGAAAAATTGACAGTCTTGCATGAAAGAAGACAGGAGACATACTAAAGAGGCAGTCTCCCACGAAAGGTATCTTGCATGAAAGGTGTAGACAAAATAGTGAATTAGCAGTTCCACATGAAATTGGCGGACATATTAAGAGATAGTCTCACAGCGGCAACCAAATTACAATAAGCCAGTTCTGCATGATAAAGGAAGAAACAAAGTCCCACATAAAAGGGAAAGAGAGGTATATTAAACAGGGAGTTCAATTTAAAGAAACACAGACATTATTAAATGAACAGACTTGCATTTAAAAGGATTGGACAGACGCTAAAAATGGGTAGTCTAAAATAACAGGGAAAACAGACATATTAAAGGGAAAACTCCGTATAAAAAAAGGAAAAACAAAATGTATTAAAGGATAAATTTTTCATGAAAAGGTTAAAGGAGAAATTTTACAAAATAGAGGCAGAAAGATATATCAAATTGATAGTCTTTCATGAGAGGACTGATATACCTATTAATAATGATAGTCTTGCTTGATAAGAGCAGATATTAAAGGGGCAGTCTTGCATGAAAAGGTAGGACAGACATATTAAAAGGCCAGCCACTTTACACAGTATATTGTGTAAAACAAGGGGTTTACAACACATTAACCCTTTTATTTTCATTCACAAAACCACATTCAGACATCGGCAGAATAGATTACAGGATGACCTGAGCATCGCATATATTTAAGTTTTAAATCTCATAAAGGCTAAGCTCTGTCCACACTATCACATTTTATGTGACAAATAAATGTGATATGTAAAGCCATGTCCAGATTAACACATTTTAATTTAAGTGACTTGCCTAAATATGATCATGATGACAGCACACCTTGGTTATATGACTATAAACGGGCAAGCAACAATTTTTGTCGAAGAAAATTTGAGTCTGGTCAGAGGTTTATACAGTATAACCCCTATTCCAACTTTTCTTCTGAAGAAGTGCCTTGATGTTGTTTTACCAACTATTACCAACATTGCCAATAGATCAATCGAAAGTGGGAGTTTTCCTGATTCTTTAAAGGTTTCATACATCAGACCTCTAATTAAGAAACCTGGTCTAGGTTGTGAAGAGTTAAAGAATTATAGGCCTGTGTCAAACCTTAAGTTTCTTGGAAAAACCATTGAACGTCTCGTTTCAAAACGTCTAGCTGAACATATCAACGCATACGATCTGTTTGATTCATTTCAGTCAGCATACCGTCCTCACCACAGTGTTTGACCACATTACTCCAATTCTACAACAATTGCACTGGCTGCCTGTGTATTATAGGGTCGTTTTTAAGATCCTTTTAATCACGTATAAAACGCTAAACGGTGACGGTCCAGAGTATTTACGTAGTCTCTTGGTGTGGCATGTGCCATCACGAAATCTTCGTTCAGGTGATAGACGATTGCTGGTTGAGCCCAGGTTTATGAGGTCATGGGGTGACAGATTTTTTGTAGTTGCGGCCCCCCGTTTGTGGAACAGATTACCTCTTGAAATAAGATCAAGTTCGTCGACTGCTTTGTTCAAACGTGCTCTGAAAACACATCTATTTTTTGTTGCTCAAGGAAATTAATTTATTGTGAATTGATTTTTGTTTTGTTTTGCTTTTTAATTTGATTAGTTAGATGCCCACAAAACTGAGAACACCTGTGAGTCATGTACTAGCCGGTCTTTGCACCTTAAATTGCTGGTAAACGGAAGCAGTGATGTGGGTTATGGTCGTTTTTCTGGTAG